AGAATAACGCGAGTACATAAACCACAACAGATCAATCTACTTTTTTCTCAGCTGCTTTTTACTGCTAATGTGTAACTTTGTTAGAATATTGATCTTTTCTAAAATTTTGTATAAAGCTATTTAGTTTAGTGCCTAATGACATTAAATAGTTGGATTAACTGGAACTACAGCAGTATGATTTAGTGATATAAGAGTTGAGGTGGAATTAGTTTTAAAACATTGGTGGTGGCTTAGCTTCTCAGCAGACTAGTTACTTCTGTTCCTGTCATGAGTGAGACACACAGTGCAAAGTCAAGAGCCTGGCATTAGGCAGCTGTCTGCAATGTGAGCTTCTTGCACTGGCCAAACCGCCACCTCCTCAAACACGGCCTTGTAAGGGCAGCATTCTTCCAGTGGTGGAGGAAAAGTAGGGGCAGAGAAACCATTCAGAGCCCCCAGAGAGCTTTAAAATGGCCTACGTGTGAGTTCCAGCAAGTGGAAGTCCTCCTGCTGGGGCTCCCCAGTGAGGGCCAACACCCCCTGAGGAGGCTCAAGCTTCCCCTTCTGGTGATTTGAGGTGGGAGTTGAGTAAGAACGAAAAAGAAAGATCTCAGTGTTTAAACATGAATACGCCTCCATTCTCTTTGAGGTTTTCACCTGTAAACAGGGGCCCGTTTGATGGGAAAAGGAACTGGGCCACCAGTTTCAAAATCTCAGCAGCCGGTATGCATGTAGAGAAACCTATCCTTAAATGCGCTGCATGGGGACTAGAATCATCAAAAGCTGCTGCAGAGTCAGCAGACAGCTCCCTACTCAAACAGACTAAATGGAGTTAATTGTAGTTACAACAAACAAACAAAGACAACTGCAAATATGAAGAATTAGAATTGATTTAGGGGTCACAGAAGCAAGGACCACAGCAAAACACAACCTTCAAGTCATATTTTTGGAATTATGCTTGAAGAAGGAGTCTGCCTAGAGCTGAAAAAGGTACCTTCATGGTTTTTCTGCTATTTTAGAAGCAGGCTAGCCTCTGAGGCGATGAGAGATGACCACCGTCTTCTAGTGCAGGATCAGGAAATCTCAAGGCTGGAGAGCAACAAGCTGTTGCTGAGGCATTTAATAGCAAGCACATTTTTCTTCAAGGTTATGCCACAAAATCAGTTCCCCCATGCCAAGGAGAATACTGATCAAATAAGAGTTTTCTGTTTTAGATGTTATTTTAAAGTAAAGCATTTGAATACATTTCCATAGATTTTGAAGGGAGAAGGGATGATTAAATATATTCACACAAAATACATCTGCTTGCCCTCACCCATCCACCTGCCTGGAATTCCACATTTAGGGGCTGTGTGTGTGATAATGTGGCAAAACCATGTGAGAGCCGCTCGTTTTTCTCTGAGCCAAATGACTGAAATTTTAAAAGGTTATAAACAATGTGAAAGGCAGCTAGCAGAGTCTGCCGTGTTTTAATCGTTTTAGGTATTAGCATCCAATGTTGGTTAATTTAACAGTCTCCTTGTTCATGTCAGTAGGGCTGTTTTCTCCACTCTGCCCGTTAGGTAACTGAGGCCTGGGTTACAGAGCCTTTCTAAGGCTTCTGGAAATGTTTGAGATTTGGAAAAGAACAGCAACAAAACAAACAACTAAGCAAGCAAAGCCCTCAAATCACTGGCTCCAAAATAGGAAAAGAATATTGTGTAATCAGAAATAATGCATAAGTATCTATGACACTCAATATTATGTCAACTCAACCCGTAAACCAGTTGCCCTCTCGTTGACTCTGACTTGTGGTGACCCTATGTGTGTCAGAGTATACCTGCGCTCCATAGGATTTTCAATGGCTGGTTTTTAGAAGGAGATCATCAGGCCTTTATTCTGAGGTGCCTCTGGGTGGGTTCTAACTGCCAGCGTTTCGGTTAGCAGCCAAACGCTTAACCATTTGCGTCACCGAGAGACTCCTACTACGTCAACCAGTCAGCTACAACTCAACTTAAGTCACATGGTTACTTTTAAATTGCATTAAATGTATGTTGTTGGTACCTTTTAATGTTTGCTGTAACTGGGGGAGTGGGGCTCAGAAGTAAGAGTGTTTGGGACGCTCTGAGATTTTAAGACAACCCTGCATGGCAAATGAAACTCCAGTTTTACAAAGCCTGTACATCCATTTCTGCTGCTCTGTAGAAATCATTTTTTAGTCATTTTGCTGCTGGGGAAGAGGTTTAAAACCAGCCCCAGGCCCAAGAGCACTGCCCCCTACATGTCCCCTGGTGAATTCTGCCCCAAGAAATACAGATTTTAGAAACAAGGTTTGCCCTTTAGACCAGAATTCTCCTTGCAGGGCCAAGGTGATGGTCAGAGGCAACCAGTATTGATCCATCCCTCCTGCCACTTCCCCCCATCAGAATCTCCAGGACAGCATCTGTTTTGTTCTTTTCATTAAGGTGTGGCAGAACCTCCCTGTGTATTCAGCCAACTTCCCATTGGTGGTTAGCTTTTACAAGAATGTTCCCTGTCTTCCCACTTAAGTAAGTCACCAGACCAAAATAATGAAAATGCAGCACTGTTTCACCTCAAAGCTATGCAGTGGTGTCGGCAACCATGTGCATTTGTAAAGCACAATTCATAGACAGTTCTCTGGCCACAGGATTAGATGCAGATCTAAGGAGACTAAGGGGCAGGACCTGCCTGTCTTTGAAATGGAGTCCCCAGCTGTGCCGAGTACAAGCATCTCCTGGTCTGTTCTCTCTCGCAATTGCACAGATCTTGTTTTCATTATCGGCACTGACCAGTCAGCTGCTGGAGACAAGAATCCATATCCCACTGCTTTTAGGACAGCAAGCTTTCACCAAGACCAAACTTAAGAGGAAATTATAAAGTCCTACTGGAGGAAAAAAAAAAAAAAAGACAACTAAACCAAACCCAACCCATTGCCATTGAGTCGATTCCGACCCACAGCGACCCTACACCACAGAGTAGAACCGCCCCATAAGGTTTCCAAGGCTGTAATCTTTATGGGAGCAGATTGCCACATCTTTCTCCTGTGGAGTGGCTGGCGGGTTCAAACCATCGACCTTTCGGTTAGCAGCTGAGCACCTAACCACTGTACCACCAGGGCTCCTTAAGTGACCACTAGAAGTAGGCTTTTCAGTTTGAGTTCTTTATAGAACGCAGACATCTACCCACAGCACTATGTTAAAAGAAAGAAAGAGATTAAAAGAAAAAGAAAAAGAATCACACAAAACAAAGCAAAGAAGTAGGGGTGGGGAGGCTGTAAGAGCGAGAGAGGTGAATGAAAACAGTCTTTAAGAAATAAAGGAATTTATGTCATTTTCAAAGATTAGATTTTTAAAAAGAGTCGATGGCAGCTTTAAGTCTAGTTGTCAAGTAACAAATTACCCTGAAGAATGGAAAGGCAAACATCTAGAACGAAGCTGCTAATGTACTACGAAGAGGAGGTTTTGGTACAACTAAACAGTGCTAAGGGAGTCTTAAAAACTTTTCTTCCGGGAGAATTTTATTGTTCCTATCCAAAATCAATTACATGACATTTGCAGACAAAGAAAGCATTTGCAAGTGACAAGAGGGAAAATCCATTAGAAGTTTTTATCCTTCGTTTATATTCTCACATCAGGTTGATATTCCTTTTCCTCTTGAATGTTAAAAATGGCAGAATTCCCTCAGAACTAAGGACCGTTATAGCCTCTGTCTGGGCAACTCAGAAGTGGCTCTGGAGAGGAACTTGTATTCCTCGTACCCATATTCTGGAGGTAGAAGTCAAGTCTGCAGTAGCACACCTCACAGAACCTGAGCAGGGATTTGCAGGGATGCCATTACCCACAAAGAAAGTTGATAGGGTCTCAGTCCCTCTAGGATACTACTGAAGTGATCTGCTTTTTTTTCCCTAGCAGAACCACCAATGCTCTGCACGTTTAAATTCCGTTCCGGAGCTGGAACAAGTTAATCCCCTTGGCACCCTAAAGAGCCTGATAATTATTCACTTCTGTTCATTCCCAAGAGCGCTTTTCCTGCACAAGTGTGGGTGTCAGCCTTTTAATAAGAAGGTGTAGCACAGGTTTAAGTAAAGGGAAAAGTTAAGCATCAACAGTTTACAGCCCTTAGACATCAAAACATCTACCCCTTACCTCCCCTCCTCCCGCTTCCTACTAAACAAGACTCACCACAAGCATCTCTCAATTTCTGGGCTATAAAATTTCATGCACACACCTTGAGAAGAAGGTACAGTATGGCAGGAAGTAACCATAAGTAACATGGAGGATCATCACGTAACCAAAAAATCCATAGACTGGAAATGAAGTCATTTCTCCATTTTGCTGGTTGACCTTGCGACGCTCAGATTTTATGCCTCCATGTTTCCAAAACTATTTCCCAACATGATTTCAAACAGAGGTCTACAGTCTGGAAAATAGTAGTTCATATGCAAATAGGTGGTATGTGCCAGGCATTAAGGCATTTTTAGAGAAGCCTTCTTCAACTGGGCTCTTTGTCTTCGTCCATCTCCATCTCCACCCCTCAACTTTTGATTATTTTCCAGCACTCCTTTGATTCAAAAATGCTCAGAAACTCTACTTTTTTCATTGTTCAGGGACTACTTTGCAAAAGTCAAAGTAAGAAGTGACGAACCACCATAATTTAATGAACATCTGCACCATAATGCCTGTCCAGTTTTCCAAGGGTGTTAGCAGTAGTTTCAGAATGTCCTTGGCTACACCAATTATTTCCCAGCTATACTATCTCAGCACCCGGCAGTAGTTCTTTAGGATTCAGTAAGTAGGTCCAATTCTGTGTCACCAAGACTAGTTACAGAATTGGAGCTTTACAGAATCCAGCATAGTAACAAACAGTTGTGCCTATATAAAGAGTGGGAATACAGGTGGCCAGGGTGGTAACCAAGGAAAGCAAGTCAGGGTTGCTTTGGGAAGCTCTAACCAGCTAACTCTGGTCCCTGGAAGGGTTGGCTGTACATGAAGGGTGCAAATATGTGGCCTGATGCTGTCCATTACGTCTTCCTCAGCCTTCTACTCCCTTGGGCAGTGGATCTGCCTGCTGCCATGTGCATTTTCCCAGGTTACTTTAGCTGGGGGTGAATGCTGTCTGAATTGTTTTCACTGTAGAAAAGGTGGGTTGGTGATAGTGTTTGGAAGGAGGAGATACAGTTTCATAAGGCAAGGAGCATCTGTCTTCTATAATGTTGTTGCCTCACACAATGTTTGGCACATAGTAGACTCAAAAAATGCTTGCTGAATAATGAAAGGAATGAATGAAGAAATGAATGAATTCTGCGTTTGAATTGAACCTCATGAGATGGGCAAGGGAGACTGGGAGTTATGTCCATTGTCAGCCAGAGTTTGGCCTCCTAATTCTGAATTTGTAGAAAATTATGATCTGCCTTCCTAAACACCACATGCATAGTCTTCTGCCTTGAGCCTGATGCTCCCCAGTGCTGACCTGTTGAAGGGCCAGCTCTCAGTGGTGATGGAAGCTTCTCCAAGTTCCCTCTTGGAAGCCCCCTTCTCTGGTGCTACAGCCTGACAGGCTTGTGGTGAGTCATGAGTCATCCTGCTGGCGACTCACCAGAATCACATTTGGATCTCTCTCCCCTTTCCTGTCAGGTTTCCAAGTCTCAGCTTTCCCATGGGCTGTGTATTTCCTGAGACCCTGAGGGGAGGCAAGCTGTGAGGAGAGCAGACAATGAGTGTCTGGAGACACCCTAAAATACCATGATTGCTTGTGCTGGAAGGATCTCAGAAGTATTTTAAAGAAGAGCCTCTGATGCCTGGCAGTCGCGGATGGGGACAGTGGGCACAAACAGCATACTTTGCTGAGCCTCAGCCAACTTTATATCGTCAGGAAAAAAGTGCTACAGCATTATACAGGGTCAGTGAATATGGACATTTCTCTCACGTTCCAAGACAAGAAATAACTGGGTTGATGGCTTTCCCAAGACTGTGCTTTGTTGTAAGACATATTAAAAAAAGTAATCAGTTGTGGGTATAAACCTAGAAAAGCTTAAAAGGAGACTGGTAGGGTCTATACTGAGGAAAGAACCCATTAGGGAACTGAACTCTTTTCCTTCTCTGGGCACACAGTGGGGTCGCTTGCTGTTTTTTCTCTTCAGAGTGTTGCGATTTAAACGTGACCTAAAATTCTTTCCAAAGTGTTAAAGTCGGACCCCACAGGAAAACCGCATTTTGCTGTCCTTACCATCAAACCACCAGGCTCTTTGACTAAAGGAAACCAGGTGCCGTCAAGTTGACTCTGACTCATCGCAACCCTGTGTGTGTCAGAATAGAACTGGGCTCCATAGGGTTATCAATGGCTGATGTTTTTGGAAGTAGATTACCAGGTCTTTCTTCTGAGATGCTTCTGGGTGGACCTGCACCTCCAACCTTCTGCTTACCAGCTGAAAGGAGGCCACTCCCTTTTTTTTCTCTGAAAGAACTCTGTTTTAAAATGAGAGAATACGTACGTTGGCCAAATAGCAGCCTCGTGTGTTTGAGTATTTGTATGAGCATGTGGTACAGCTGTCTAGGTACAAGGAACCAAAGGCTAAGGTATTACAATCATTAGACCCACTTCTACTTCCTTTTGGTGCTACAATGAATCCAGTTCTTCAGTAAAGTGTCAAGAGATTAAGTCTAACAGTACTAACAGTATTGTGGCCGTATCTTCACCAATCTACCACAAACAACCAGGGATGTGCTAGTCATGGAGTTTGTTTTGGACAGTCTGAGCCAGAAGTAGAACAAGATTCATAGAAGAAAAAAACTCGTTTTTTCACATGTACCGAACGTGCTAATTCGTTGATGGACTGTTCGCATATAAAGTGCTTAAGAGTTGGACAGAATACCTCTAGACGTCATAACTCACACAATCGAGACATGTTTACATTCCTACCAGAGCGTAATATTGTGAACACTTCCACTGAGATCGCAGAATTGCTGTAATTTTCTGTAAAACATCATGCCATCTGCACACATAATAAAATAATCCAGTAGTTGCCATGCTAAAACGGGACTTCTAGTGAAGGGCACAGACAGCTCCCCAGAGGGAACTTGAGTTATGCACAGTGATGAAAACTGGAAGCAATTTTCCAGCTAATGGTCTGCCAATGACCACTCGGAACAAGTTGGCACTGTATATTATGCACCTCATTTTAAACTTCTCAGCAAGCTAAGATTTTCCAAAGCCCATCATCTTGACTGAATGGGTGTCTTTTCCGTTAATCCGGTTAATCTGTCAATGCTCCAAGGACGTCTTCAGGCAGTGCCATGAGTTAGTCTTTCAGTGAGGAACAGGACATTTCCATATCAACTGGCCGGACAGTAGCTTGGAAGGCTCACCATGTTTATGGAGAACCCTCGGTTGAGGCTATAAGGAGAAAAAAGAGGAAAATATGGTAAATTATTTCCTTTGTGTTCCAGATACTGATACGTAGCAATTATCCTATTCAAACAAACCCTAACACCTTAGGTCAATGAGAAACTCTAGTCGGGATAAGGTTACTCAAGCCCGGAAGAGATTCATGATGGCTTGTATTAAAAGAGCCTCCTCCATCACTTAGCAGGGCTTGGAAGACACCTTCTCAGAGACAGGTGAAGTTTCTTGGAAGAGAAAGTTAAATTTCATCTCTGGAATTGGCATCCAGCTCTATGACAGGTCTGGTGTTTGAGAAATCATTTCATATATTATGGGGGTTCATGCATTTACTTGATCTGGAACAAGATCAGATTGGGAATGACATGAAGGTATTTTTTGCAGGGGGCTTCATTAATCAGTAAACTTTCCTGGGATAAAACCTAGAATAAAATATTGGAGAGAGTATGGCTGAAGCTTCTGAGTTTGCTAGTTGAAAAGTCAGATGGGCTGAGCAGGTTAGGAACTGCATAAAGTCATTAAAACCTGACCAGAAATTGAACTATTTGAATTGCAACTCTGTTTTTGATTTTGGGTATGCTGGTACAGGTAGTATTTTCCTAATTTCAATTTTCTACTTTTCCTAATATTTTATCTGAGCATTCCTTACACTTCCTTATACATAGATCCTCAATAATTATTATGAGTGCAATTGAATATTTTGTTCAGGAAAATATCAATATTAGTTTTATTTAACGAGCAAAACTATTTGGGCAATGAGAGAAAAGGACAGCAAAGAGTTCTTGATATAAAAAACAAAACACAAATCTACCTGCGTTTTAAAACTGGCTTTTCAAAACGTGAAAGAGTGTGCGTTTTATAAGTAAATGTTTAATTAAAACTCGCTGTTTTTGAGGAAATGCAAAAACAAAAATAAGGTGCCCTTTAAGCATATTAAATACAAAATAATAATACATACTCCTGATAAGGTTGTGATGAAAGTAGAATACTAATGTATTGCTGGTGGCATTGTTAACTGGAAAAATAATGTCAATTTATTCAAGAACTATTAAAAAAATCATATTCCTTGATGCAATGATCCCATTCCTAGGAGTATATTCTAGGGAAACACTCTAAAAAAAATAAAAGCAGCTGTATGCACAAATGTGTAACCTAGAAGTTATTTATAATAATGGAAAATTTGGAAACAACCAGTCTCCTATTGTTGAAAATTTAGGTTAAGTAAATTATGGTACATTAACAACAGGAATGATTACATGGCTATTAAAGTAATAATTACGATGATTATGTAGAAACATGCAAAACAGCTGCGATATACAACAATATAAAACTTACATATATGCATGGACAAGAACAGCAAGCGAAATGGTGAAGGTGTTAGAATTTTTATTATTGTTATCATTAATATTTTTAAAAATAGCAACAAAAAAATTAGGCTCCCAGGGGTGCAGATATAACCCATGAGCACTGACTAAAGCATCCATAAAAAACTAAAAAACCAAACCAGTTGCCATCGAATCAATTCGGACTCATGACGACCCCGTGTGTGTCAGAGTAGAACAGCACTTTATAGGATTTTCAAGGCTGTGACTTTTCGGAAGTAGATTGCCAGGCCTTTTTTCTGAGGCACCTCTGGGTGGGTTTGAACCACCAACCTTTCAGTTAGTAGTCGAGCGCTGAACTGTTTGTTACACCCTGTCTGCACCACAAGTATTACCTCAAACATAAATACTTTACAGTTTCACTAACAGACAGCACTCCAGTATTATTGAAGAGGGGCTAGAAACTGATGTGGGTAAAAACCACCTGTCTATGTCAGCCTGCAAGGGAGCAGCCCACCCTGGGTAACCACATAGATTTTAGAAATCTGACACAGTACAACATCCTTGAGAGTTTGCTAAAACCAGCTCTGGAAAATGTGTGACCTTGGAACAGTGTTACTGGGAAGAACGCATAAAATAAAATTTAAAAAGGGAATAATAATAACAGTGAACTCTAATAAATTAATTAATCTATTGTAGTAAATAGAGCTTTGGATCCCGAGTCAGGAGTAACTAGGTTTAGTCACGGTTGCTACTTCTCCAAAAACCATGTTTTCCCTACCAGCATCTAAGAGCTGATGGAAAGTGGATGTGCCTAATTTTAGCATGCAATAACATTGGTTTCTATTTCTTTTGATTGTTGTTGAGGATATACACAGCAGAACATACACCTGTTCATTAATTTCTACATGTACAATTCAGTGACACTGATTACATTCTTTGAGTTGTGCGACCATTCTCATCCTCCTTTTCTAAATTGTTCCTCCCCCGTGAACATAAACTCACTGCCCCCTAAGTTTCCTATCTAATCTTTTGAGTTGCTGTTGTCAATTTGATCCCATATGGATAGTTCTTAACCCCCAAAACTATTGCCCTGAGATGATCTTTAAACTTTAAACCGAAAATATCCCCTGAAGTCTTCTTTAAACCAAATGATAGCTTCGTTTAATTAGTAAAGAATGCACATTAAAAACACTTTTAACCACAGATATAAACTGAGCCCTTTATACTTTGTAAAGTTCTTCGGCTATGGTTACACAATACCCTTCTTAGGACAGACAGCATTATATCCATTTTAGGCATAGGGAAATGGAGGCCCAGAGGTGTTATTTGCCCAAGATCAGGATCACTGAAACGAGGATCAAAGCTGTATTCAGATGTTGATGTGTCTCACTCTAGCGACATGGCATACAGGTGAGACAGGGACAAACATATAAAGTATAATTATTCAGACCTTTCCTACCTCCCTATCTTCTAAGTAGGATTCCATGTTTATCCATAAACCCAAACAGCACAAAGAAGGACCCTGCTGGACAGGGAAGAAAATTGGAGGCTAAACTAATATTAGAGCAGATAGATACTCCTGAATGACATGAATGCACACAGCAGTAGAGGCCACAGAGAGATAACTGAAGGGTTTAGGAAGTGACATAGGAGGTTTGGGGTGGTGACTGCCATAATGAGTGGCATCTCAGGAAGATGATAGCCAAAAAGAAGGGTATCTTATGGTGTAGTAATCTCTTTGCCACTGTTTCCTGAAATTCGGTAAAGTCTTAATTGCTCTTTGATGTTTTTGCAGTTAGCATTGCGGTTATGTTGAATAGGTCACCATGTTGAGTTGGGCTGCGTCTTAGTTATCCAGTGCTGCTATAACAGAAATACCACAAGTGGATGGCTTTAACAGCGATTTATTCTCTTACAGTCTAGTAGACTAGAAGTCCAAATTCAGGGCGCCAGCTCCAGGGGAAGTCTTTTTCTCTCCTTGGCTCTGGAGGAAGGTCCTTGTCATCAGTCTTCCCCTGGTCTAGGAGCTTCTCAGGCATAGGGGACCCAGGTCCAAAGGACACGCTGTTCCCCTGCCTCTTGTTTCTTGGTGGTATAAGGTCCCCCTGTTTCCCTGCTTGCTTCTCTTTTTTATATCTCAAAAGAGATTGACTTAAGACACAACCTAATCTTGTAGATTGAGTCCTGCCTCATTAACATAATTGCCTCTAATCCTGCCTCATTAATATCATAGAGGTAGGACTTATAACACATAGGAAAATCACATCAGATGACAAAAATCGTGGACAATCTCACAATACTGGGAATCATGGCCTAGCCAAGTTGATACACATTTTTGGGGGACACAATCCAATCCACAACAGGCTGTATGTGGGAGCAAAGGGCCCCCCATTTACTCAGGTTACATGTGCCAGGTATGTGGCTAAAGTTAAGGCCAACATTGCTAGTATAGGCATTCTTGGAACCAATCACTTCTTTAGTCCAGTGGTTTCAGAGTCTGGTCTTATAACAAGAGAAGCATTAGAGCCCAGCAGTTAAGAGCATGGGCCCTAGATTCAGGTAGACCTGAGATGACATCCCAGCTACAACATTTAGCAGCTACTAAAAAAAAACAAACCAAACACATGGCTGTCAAGTCAATTCCAACTCACAGAGACCCTATAGGACAGAGTAGAACTGCCCCACAGAGTTTCCAAGGAGCGCCTGGTGGATTTGAACTGCCAATCTTTTGTTTAGCAGCCGTAGCTTTTAACCACTACGCCACCAATGTTGAAGAAGTTGAAAAAGTTGGTTTCTTCAGGTCTTAATCCTCACCTTTAAAATGGTGATCATAATCCCACCTCACTGCATTTCTGTGAGGATAAAATGGGCTCACAGAAAAAGCACTTTGCATGGTGCTTGGTAAATAGTAAATAACTGATAAATGATGGCTACTATTTTTTTTTTTATTATTATTATAACTACCACATATTCCCAAAATTCCTTTGAGAAACCAGAGATACAAATAGAACAATGTCCTTATGCCACAGCTGGAGGCCAGGGAGAGAAACAAAATGCTGGGAGAGAGATCAAGCCTTTGCACCCTCTGGAAGACAGATAACTCTCTTCCCACCTGCTAGCCTGCCAAGGCCACAGTCCGCACTCTGGGCTTGCACTCTCCCCCAGATTAGTGCAGACATTAACAGACGGTTCCGTGATAAAGAGAGTTCACACCAAGACACTTCAAAGGCAGGATGTGGCTGGCCCGGGAGGCAAGGCCAGCTTGGCAGAGGGTTTGAGAACAGATCTGGGACTGAGTATGTCCAGCTCTGCCTTTCCCCACTCCAGCAGCCAATGGTTGAAGGGCTTCTGGGGAGCGGAAAAGATAATGCATTTAGGCAGCCCCACCTCTCAGAGGCTGACGAGAGGAAACAGGACTTCATTACTTAGAAGGGCTGGTTAGTGTCTTCCATTTAGAAACAAGGGCCATATCTTCTCTCTGAAAGTGTCTTTCATGTGACTGAGTTTGAGGGCTTTGGGGTGGGCCTGCATGCATTTCTGTGTAGGATAAATTTTATCAGATGTGAAACACACATTCCAAAGGAGACCCATGGTTGCCCCAGCTTAACAGCTAATGATAAAGGGACCTAACATTTACTGAGCACCTACACCATGCCCACTAAGGTTGAT